TATCCTCTTACTCTTCAAGAATAAGTAGCAACTCTATTCCACAGGTTTCAGTATCTTCATCATTCTTACTGGCCCTAAGGCAGTGCAGGTCTTTGATACCACTATTACTACGTAAGAGTGCACTCCTTTAAATCATCTGAGATAAGAATGCAATGAATCCTTCGGTACCCAACACAGACCTGTAGTCAGGATGTTTTTCTATAATCTCACTGGTGGTCCACATGGACCAAAATAGCCCAGATCTGAAAACTTTCTGACATACTGAGAGTCCTTTTTGCAACAGGTAGTCTAGCATGAGGGAAAGGGGCCTACAAATATTTTCATGACCTAGACCATATTTTGGATTGCCACTTTCGTGGCTGGCAGTTCACATGCAAGAATTTGTGAGTTTTGTTTTACATGCTATCAGTGCTACTTTTAACTGCTGTAAATCACCAAAGAAGGTGCATATAACTTCTCTGTCAATAACCTGTTCTACCTTGAGTATATATTTTCTTTTGCAATTATAAAAAGCCGAACAAAACAGACTTTTAATAGAAAAGTGCAATGTGTACATTTTTATTCAACACACTGGATTTTTAAAGAACTTTCAGTTTTCAATCCTGTTTAATAATCTAGAATCATCTACTGGGTAAAGCCAAAGATTCACAGACCCTCAGGAGAATGCTAACGCATAAATGCACACTACAAGTTAATCAGAATGAAGAAGAGTGACTAACTGCAAATTAAGGATTAGTTAAGTAGTTACTAACAAAGAAAAAAACCACAAAGCTCAACAAATATTCACTGAATACTAATTCTGTTTTAAACTCTCCTATTTGTAATGAAATGCAATCTTACCAATCAGCTTGTTACTACAGAACAGTATTTTAAGCATCTACACATTATCTCATCTTTTAAACACTTGAACGCATAAACAAATAGCTGCAAAATAGTGAGACATCTCAACAGCTGCTAATTTATTGTATGACTTCACTCATCTCATAAGGTATAATTCCCCAGTTAGACTTCCATTTATAAGTATCTATGGATTTTATTACTGTCTCTCTTAGTTAAATCTTTCTTGCATTAACATCATAAAATGGCTCTAATGGCCTACTTGAGAACAGACTTGACTTTACTAGGACCTATGCATGTAAACTTGAAATAAAAATTATCCTTCCCAAGCCAACAGCAACAGATAACACAGCAATACAAGTAGTTTTGCTCCATAGCAGTAGTCAGTAGTCTAGATCCTGATCTCCCTTATGTCAGCAATCATCTGGTGCGCTGAAGAAAATGAAGTCACTTCTAAGTTTCCATCCAGAATAAATTCTGCCCCACTCTCTCTTCAGTCACAAATTCATTTAAGCAGACTGTCCTGAAGAGACAGGGCAATCCTCATCCTAAAACAGAGGCCAGTGAAACTAGGAGTCCTTCCATTGGCTTCCATGGCCTTTGGATGAGGCCCTAAAACAGAGAAATCAGAACACCAAAGGGGACCATATCCCAATTAGAATCATCTCAGTGACACTCAGACAAACCTTCATTGTTCAACAGGAACAGTACCAAGCCAAGTCAAAGAATTTCTGAACACTGATATCTTGAGTATTACTCAACAATCAGCTAGACATCACTTTAACATACACTACAACGTGACAGACAAATGGGAATCTAACAACTTTCTCTAAACCCTGTATTACTGCCACTTGAAGCACTTTAAAATGCAAAATCTCACTGCAATTACAATAGTCTCTAATCAGTATATTCTTTTAAATTCAAACTGTGTACTCCTGCAGAAAGCATTAAGAAATAAATGCTGTTCAAAGAACCATACCAGGCTTTCAGAACAATGAAATCTCTTTTTACACAGTTCACAGAGACTTAAAACAGACACAAAATCTTTTTCTGGCTATTCTCACAAGCACTAGAACACAAAGCCCTCAATTTTGGGGTTATCATGCAAGGAAGTGGTCCTGTAGCAACCAGCCTTAAGCAGCAAAGGGGAACACCACTGTAGATTTAACTCATTGTCTTCTAAGACTGCAAAGATGCTTTTCAGCTCTGATACGTAGATGGCTATTGCAACTGAAACAGGATTGAAAAGGTAAGTGTTTGTACTGCAATACCATTTTGGAAGAAAACCAGGTGTATTCCATGTTAGCTTTTGAGAATCTGCATTAATCTGTGAATTTATATTTGCACAAAGAAAGAATACATGAAAACAAATGCAGAGTGAAAAAAGCAACCCGAAGGGATATGTGGGGATATGCCTTTCATATATATAGATCAAAACATTTAAGTATGGTGATGGTACATTTAGGTATTTAAGATTAAATATTTGGAAAGGTGTCCCATTGTTGAGGCTCCTCTTGAGATTTTTCTGTAAAATATTTTGATTTTGCATGTCACTTACTGGATCCAAGCTCATCTCCACAACAGAATTAGTAGTCAGAGGACAAACAGATGCTCATATGAGCTTTTGGAGAGGGTGATATTCTTGCACCGAAAACTATTCATTCATTTTCAAATGCCATGCACGGAGTCCACCTTTCTGTCACTCTAGTTAAACATACTTATTCCCAACACTCCTATGGGTCAGGAAATTTCCTCAGGAAACATGAGCAGTAAAAATTGGTCATAGTGGTTTAGTCTCTAATGAAGACTACTGAGAATGGTCAAATGAAAATGGACATTTGGAGAAAATCAGGCTCACTCAAAGGAAATGAAAAGCAATCAAAATGCCAAACTCTAAAGAGGGGAGATGTTAGAGCTGTGGAGTTAAAAACAGAAACCTCCCAAAACAGAAAAAAATACATCCAACCTTTCTTCAGTCCTCAGCTATGACACATTTTTCTGTATATCATATTAACCTGAGAATCAGCCCTAAGTTATATTTATACCCACAAAAATATATGCCCAAAATGTTAATGTCCTAAATATTTCAGTAGTACTTTGCAATCGATTAAGGACACCTCTAGCACTGTTATATCCCTGAATGTACTAGCCAGACATTTCCTTTGTAAATCACCAGATAGCTCATGGAAAGTGAGCAGGCGTGATAAATGAGCTGTAGTTTTCTAAACCGTGCTTCTTAACAGATGTATTTACACATTTCACAATCTAACGGTAGGGATGCTGCATGTTACTGCCAAATGTTAGATTAAATGTTATCAAACAGGAGGCTCCCAACAAATTCCCATCATGTTGAATATTAAGATCAGCCTGCCGTGTGTAATTTTTCATGTTATGTCCTCAATCAAGATTTTTTTAAGCTAATTGTTACTGTTTTAATTATCCTTTTCTTACTTATTAATACATGAAAAGTACATATTTACATGAACAAAGAAATTGCAGAATGCTTATCTAGAGGCTTGTTCCACTTAAATTTTTAAATTACTTTGTAAGCTTAATTTGATAATTAAATAAGAAAAACCCACATCAAAAACCTAAATCTGATCTCATTTTAATTTTACGCTGCTCTTCAAAGTGCCTTCCCTTTCAGACAACAGCAGAGGATTTTGCCTCGTCTGAGCCAGCTGCTCTGTATCACAACATCTGATTTCCCTTAAGCAGTTTGATGGTGAGAATTACCAAAATGGCTGAACGCCACTCCCGTGCCACTGGCTGGTAGAACCCCAAGGTGTTACCAAGTTGCTGTCAGTGACAGTATGGCCTCAGGCAGACATTTTAGAGAAACAGGACGAGATTCCTGAGGAAGTTGTCATTCCTCTGTTTTGCTGGAGAGGAAAAGGTGGAACCTGTATCACGCTGGACCATTTGCATCTGCTGTAGCACATGAAGCAGCACACTGGGGTACACTGGGGCAGATGTAGCGATGAGCACAACCTGAGGCAGTACACGCCTTGTGTAACCTGGGCCAGGCACATACAAGCCCCAGTGAACACGCAACGCATCCTGCTCCAAGAGTCCCGCCACACAACTCAAGATACCTTACCTGTGTCCATGACAATGGTGGTGCTTTAATGCCACTTGAATAATGAACAACCTGCTGGACTCAAAGGCCTGACCATAGGGCATTCAAAATCTTAATAAAATACAATATTATTGATGCATTAAGTCTGATGGTTACTCTCTCCTCATGGATGCATGGTAATACCAGCTAACGTGTTCAGACACAGAATTTTGTGGCAGCACATTCTGAATAGCAACCACACAATGATACAACCACATTTCACATTCAGCAGAGCCCTTGGAGATCACGCATCTTAAGTGATGTGTCAGGCTCAGTGCACTTCACAAACACATAAAACAAACATTAATCTGGCAATGCTACTATAATCATGCTGTTTCTTTATATGTTAATGTCTGTTCACACCTTGAAAAATACTTGCGTTCATATATCAGCACCTAAAGTCTAAAGGTCTCAGGAAACAGTGCTCTGGTGAAGGGGCTTATAACTGCCCAAGCTATGATCAGATTAGTTTCTTTACATGTCTTCAAGGAGAGCTGAGCAATTAGAAGGAACAAGAGAACCAAAGAAAACACACTCCACAAACGTAACTTACATTAGAAGTGATTTCTGATTTGACTGCCTGCAATACATTTTCAGTAACTTCCTGAAAACCTCCAAGCTTCCAAGGGTTGCTAGCACAAATGTAACACTGAAACTAAAGCCTATGTATTAGATCTTTTCCTCAGAATAGATTTTAAGTTTTTTTCAATTATAATGTCGGCATTTCATGTGGCATTTGTTGGTCACATGTTTCATGCACTTGGGAAACGTAAACCATTTTCTAAGACTGAAAAACCACATTTATTAGTAGTATTTTCAAGAACTTTGCACAGAGCTTTTGAAACTCCAGAAATATTTATTAAGAGAAATGTGTGGGTAACTCTAGATCATGGAATTTCGGAATAGCAGGGGCTTATTTTAGTTTGGGCACTAACTAAAAGGCAGAATATATTAATAACTAGAAAACATATTTAAATCTAATTTCACCTCTAAAAGTGCATATATTTCAGAAATTTTGAAATGGGGAAAGGAATTTTGCTCCTACCTCTTCCAAAGCCCACAATGAGTCAACCACAGGCTTGATCTTCTTATTGTTATATAGATTTAGGAGTTTGTCCATCACACCCTTGATCAGGCCACCTCGATTCTGTTTGAAAAGTAGATTCAACAGGGAAAATCCAGCAATGACTTTGTTCTCCTCATACAGCTTGATAGGATTTACTTTCTCAACTTGCCACCACTGGAAAGCAATAAACAGCAGCAGGGTTAGAAAAATACTTTTCAAGAAATGTACAGGAAAGTTCACAAGAAAACTGTCTGGGCAGATGTGACACACAATACATCTGTCAGATCTGAAGCAACAGCCAAGAGAAGCAGTAAGGGTTTTAGTTAAGGAAGAGGCAAAAAAGCATGCAGCTGACTGACATGTGGAAATAAATACAGACTTGTGCTGCCTGAGATTAGGGCGCTAGAAGAATGGTGAACAGATTTGGTTTTAGGACGTGGGTCTAGAAGTAAGGAATTTGGACCTTCCTTCTTACTTCTGCTATCCTTCTTTGTTATCTCAAGAGAGCCATGCAAGCTTCCCAAACGTTCGCAAGCAACTCTTGCTACTGCTCTTCTTTCAAAAACAAGGAAGCCATGCACTGCTTATCAGCTTCCATTTCCTTTTCACCCATTATTATGTCTGTGATATTTGAACAAGCCTCATATTATCTAATGAAATTATTTTATCTCATTTAGCCCAAGAGCATACTTGAGACTGAGATTCCGCTTCCTAGCAAGTTTTATTTGCTAGGAATAAGCAAATTCCGTATTTTTTGGAGTCAGTTTTTCATTAAAACGGGTCAGTTTTTCATTAAAATTTTCATACTATTTTGATGAGTTAATTTTACAGTATAATTACATAAAGAAACAAGTTATACTTTTATATCAAATTTGATCTACTGTTTTTTTATTAATTCATTTTATTCATATGTATTCTGTCAATAAATACCAGTACTATCTGAAAAACGTTTCAGTCAAAATTCATTTTATTGGGCCAACCTACCCTACAAATTACGTAGGGATCTGGGTATGTTTATATTAACTGTAAAAAGGTTGCACAGTAAAGATTATCTTGTTTTAGTTCACAAACGCCTGATGATAACACAGATCGTGCCATTACAACCATTAAGAAAATGTCAGAGGCAAAGAATAGCTTCTTGCTACAATCTTTGATTTATCTTGTTTTCAACTATGTTGAGACTTTTGAAGCTAATTTCTCCTGGGAAGGAGTTGTTGCTGGAAGGTGTAAATGTGCTCTTGGCACAAAGATCGTATGATAGGTCTTCAACCAAGATTTGACCCTCTGATTTTCTTGTCTGAAAGAATCACTTTTTTCTCGCTAGCAGCTTATGTGATGTATTTGTCCCTTTTTCAAATCTCCAGGATTTCTGAGCAGGTTTTTTGTTGGTTTTGTAAGCTGAAGACAAAAAATGAACATCTGAATTTTGGATTTGTCATCATCATTTTGGAAACAAATGCAACATCATCATCTCCAGTGTCACTGGACATAAACACAAACAACAGAAAAATGCATATCTGTATGGAACTATCTTCTAAAAAGCTGGAAATGACTGGACACAAGCTCCATCTTAAAAGATACATCACCTTTACTATCTCCTTTAACTCACTGCACTGTCCTGACAGTGTTTTCAGATACGAGGTACCTACAGGATACAGTTATCCATATCCATGGATATGATATTCTGCCGTAAGTAAGTAATGTAGTCTAACTTTAAACTTAGCTGTAGAAGAGATTATGTCTGATAGCTAACAATTTAAATATGTATTGCACACAGATCCAATTCCTGTCTAGCTGTCATATCAGAAAACATGTCAGACCACACTGCAGTCAGAAAAACGGTTTCTTTAGCAACATCAGAAGTAACAACTTAGTAGAGATAAATGAGAATGATAAAGACGAAAATGCTACAGAAAAACTGAAGCTAGAGGAAAGAGCAGAATCACAGCACTGGGACACTTACTGATTTTGCAAAACTGAAGAAGCTTTTAGTCTCCCCAGTAACCATGTTAGATGAACCTGTAAAAGATGAGTATATTCACACACAACTTTTTACATGCTGACAAGAAGACCATTTATTATACGTAAAATCATTTCCATTATTCATATTTACGAAAAAAAAGTTCCCCAGGTTTAAAAGGGATTAGTAGACATCCTTACATGTTGGTAATAAATAACGAGAGGCCAAGGTGACTGAGCCCTACAAGCTTATAGATATTCTGAGATGGCAAAAACAATCTACCAAATCTTCCAAAACCAGAAACGGATTAAGCGCTACTAGGCATCTTGACACTGAAACTCTTCTACAGCGCTCTCTCCTCCTCTGCAGTAAAATGCCACTTGTCTCTGACACACTAGTGTATAGCACTGACCGTCACACAGGTGTCCCTGCTCCGTGTCTGTGAAGATGCATTTATCTGACCACTGCACGTGTGAACATAGATGCATTGTACACTACAACCTGTTAACGAATGTAATGACAATTCACTGGCAGGGACTTCGTTACAAACAGGCACCCAGGTTGGCTTGTACAGTCCAAGCAGATATCTGAGTGACAACACGTTCGTTGTTGCCACCCTGCTACCTAGATGAAAGCCCAAGGAAGCAGGTATGCTTATCTACGATGCCACTGCACCTTCCACTGCAATACAGATACATTATTAATTTCAAAAGTTTAGCAATGCCTTCAGCTGTCCTCCTACAGAAGCTTGTCCTGCTTTATCAACACACAACACGGCAGCCTGACAGAACTGCAGGAAAGACATGTTTACTCAGCATCTGGAGCAGTCTATGTACATGAACGGAAATCTGTGAACAGAAGCAGCCCAGGCTTGAATTCCTCAAAGTTCTATCAAATAAAAACAACAGCATTCTTCCTAAAATCCTCCTCCAAGCTTCTCTCCCACAAGAACTATACTAGAGTTGCCTTGGCCACACTGTGATTCCTATGGTGTGTAGAATGACAGATCCAAGTCTTCTCCTACACTTCTCCTGTATCATCAATAATGTTTAACAATCTGAAACATATGTTCACTTTTTTATTTTAAGAGTTTCTTTGTATTACCTATTGTTTCTCAGTAATTTAGTCCATGCTCAGCTTCACTAACATCCTTGACTGGAAATGGCCAAATTGAAAAAGTATAACATTGCAGCCTCCAGTTCTGGAACGAGTGGCATAGATGATTTTAAGAAATTTTAAGCTTTGCAAAGCTTTAGTTTTGAAATATGTAGCCCGCTTTTTCCACTCACCATATAAAATGTAAGTCCCAAGTGGTTTGAGAAGACTGAGGCCTTTCCCAGTATTTTCTCCACACAGACAGTCCAAAACAATATCTACTCCATCTGTTGAGATTCTAAAAAGCAAGAAAGAAATCTCACTTTGCAATAGGATCCACAGGACTGGTCAGCCAGCACGATACAGGCTGATTATTAACTTAATACTAACATTTTCCAGGTACTTTAGAAAGGACTCTAAGCATGAGGCTTTGACTACATGAAAACCTCATCAAAAGGAAATTCAAAGTCATTCAATGCTGGAACTCGAGTTTGTTTGGCTAGCCAAACCAGGCCTTTCAAACTTAGAAGAGTGGGAAACCATCTTGTTCCCCCTTTTTGAGGGCTTTCAGTAAAATTATATTATTGAAAAACAGGTGATGGATATAAAGCTCTTTTTCAGTGAACGCAAATGTCAGAGATTGTTGGGGTTTTTTTGGTCAATAATTTCATAGAGAAAAAGGACATTTTTGTTATTCACATAATCTTATATTCTTTTTCTGAATTCATAAGGAAACAGATCTTCTCCTAGCTTCTCCTCGGATAAAATGAGGTCCTCATAAAGTTATTTAAAGAGTCTTCTGCTACAGACTTTGTTTCAACTAGATACCGTCAGCAAGGAGTTAAGTCAACCATGAAGAGAAGTCATCAGGAGCTAGGAACCCAGCTCTAAGGATAGAATTAGGCCACATTATAGAAAAAAGACAGTATTTACACTATTCCAATAAATTCCTTGCATATTTATAATTTTCCAATAAATAGCTTTGTGAATGCAGTGCCACTATGATGCTGAAGAATAAATAAATACACACAAATATCCCGATTTAGTTCTTTTTTTCCTGGCAAAATAGGAGTGGTGTCAGGGAACTGTCCCAGAAAGAACTGTCCTGATGAAGGGCAGAAAGAGCCAACATTATCTGCAATCAAAAGTTATCAGAAGTTAAAGGGGCTTTATTGCTTTTTTTAAGCACTGATTTCTGTTACATCCGTTCCGACATCACAATACCCCCTTAGAGCAGATCTTCTTGCTTCCCCTGCCAAGAGTTAGGATTAAGGTTGGTGTTGAACTCTGATCAATGTTTTCAAGTGTTCTTTCTTGCTGAATCAACATTTGTAAAGTTGGGATTTGCTAGAATTCAGTCTTCATCTCACCACAGCAATTTTCCAAGGGCAGCAAAGCACTTAGGTATGCATACTTCCCCAAGAGAAAGGCTATCAAAGGGATGAAGAAATGTGCTGCAATTTTTCTGAGCTGTAAGAAAATGGTAGAGGTGTCATCTGCTGGACAAGTCCTATCTTTTTTGATGAAATTTCCCATATGGAAAAACTTCCCTTTGATATAAAACATCTTTTGTGATGGATCATTTCAAATGTCCTCCTAAGCCATTGTGAGTGCTGCAGAAACAGTAGCGAGACACCCTGCTTTCTCCACCAACACCAGTCGGGATTGATAACAGCTCAGACAAAAGTCTGCTATGTACTGAAAGCCCTCTTCGAGGGCTAGTAACCCTCGCACTAGGAGACCTTCTGAGACTTTGCACGTCACTCTGAGGAATGTCCGAGTTTGACAGGAAGCCCGTCAACTGTCCTACCTTGGGGTGCCCCTTTGAGAAACTTCTTGGCTTACGTCCAGCTACATAATCTAGTATTTTGACAGATACAAGATGAAGGGAAAATATTATTCTTATCTGTCTGACAAGCAAAATAAAAAAGACTTTTTTTACTAAGATTTTCTTATCAATTCTAAAGTTTTGCCACCTGTATCAACATCACTATCTAAAAATGGTTAGACAAATTGGAAAACAAAGTATTTGAAAGCATGTAAATAAAAACACACATGATGACTTCAAAAGGCAACAGGATGATTCTAATCTGAATGCAAACAAACAAATCTAAGGATCTGGAATTAAAACAGATGTGCTCTGATATCAGTCCCTGGCAGAGGATAAAAACCCAGGCAGATGGAAACACACCAGAGAACTCCAAAACCTGGGTAACTTACAGATCCACTGAAAATGTCTTAGTGCGCTACAGTGAGCTACTACATAAGCAGATCATAGCAAAGCACATACTTCTGTTAAGACCTGTATTCTTTTTCACTTAATTTACTTTGCTTGCAACAGATGTCCAAGTATGAACATGGACTAACAAAGCTTATGTTGCTTATAAATTGGGAGGTGCTTGCTATTTTATCCCTTCTAGTGGATGGATGGAATATTTGTTCCCAAATTCACAAATGTAATCTCTTCCCACAAATATGATCAGCCCAGTGTCTTTAACAGTATTTTGCCAGATATTATACAACCCTTATTCAGGAAAATAAAAGATTACCTTTTTACTTCTTGAACATAGTCTGCATTTCTGTCAAACAGGTGAGTTACTGAGTCTTTGATTGCTTCATGTTTGAAAGACGAAGCTGTTCCAAAAACAGTAACATTGGGAATAGTTGAACAGAGCTGAGCAACAGCTTGACCCTGCAAACACATTATTTTGTTAGTTCACTGACTTGGAAGTTCGTTGACAGACTTTGCAACTGCCAGTTCACTCATGACACAGCAAAATCCAAGACCAAACATGTGCAAGGACTACCCAAACTAATTTCTTGCCAGTGCAATGCAGTTCAGCCACAGGAAAAACAAAACAAAACAAAACAACAACACTTAAATCAAAAGGATATTCTGAAGACAAAGCAACTGCAGGGCTAGTGAATTTAATCTAATCAAAAATTGTATTGGAAAAGAGTTCTTGCTCTTTTAACAATGACAGTGTAATTTAAGGGAAATGGCATTAATTTACAAGGACCACCAAAAATGATTATTCAAAGAGTGCACGAGAAATATTTCTTATTCCCTGCTTTGCATCCTATGTACATTTCCCCCAGAGCCCCCTGAGTAATGTCAGCCATCCTCTTTGGACTTCATACCTCAGAACAGTGTTGACCACTTCCACAGAGGACTGAAACCCCCTCTGCTCATGGGGAAGGCCTTGCGGCATCTGATGCCAGAAAAGAATTTCTGGCCAATAAGGTAAAAGCACTTGGCTCCTCTGGTACTCAGGTACAGCTTTTATTGTTCGGCTGTTTGCAGCACTAACGCAGAGGGTCAGTCCCAATACAGCAGGTAGTCTGCCATTACTAAGCAATCGTATTTTCTTACGGTTGCCAGTTGGTGTAACAAATACTGCAGCGTAAAACAAATCTGGTTTATCTCTTATTAATAACAGTAATTATTGCTGATACAGGTCTACTTAGGCCAGTGACCCAACCTCAAAACTGATCAACAGCAAAAGGGAGAAAATGGCCTCGAGCATGTACAGGGAAATCATTCTCCTCGTATATCCTCTCAGCTTCCACAACTTCCACGTTGTAAGCTTTGCTGATGTTTAAATGAGCTTGTAGGAAGTTCTTGCAGCATATAACATGCAAATTTCATGTCACTTTTTTAATTTCTGAGCTTTGAAACAGAACCATGATTTCTTTCAAATGCCATGATGAAAATTACAATGCTGAAAAAGAGAAGCCATCTTGCTCTGACAAGCAGGCCCAACTCGGCCCCATCCACACAAACATACACATGCATCCACTCACACGCACAGGTATTCAAGCCGTGTAACTACTCCCAAGTTAGAGTAACTGGTACAAGAGCAAAAACTTGTCAGGGTAGAAAAGAAGTTCTGCAAAATATTTCTACCAAAGCTTGCTTTTGCCCTACTTCATGCAGGTATTTGCCCAAATTCATGGAGGTGTTCCTTAGGATTTCAAGCGGGTTGGGGTAAAATTCTGAGTGGAAGTAAATTTGCTGGCTGGAGTCATGGAGGCAAAGATAGGGAGAGGATTCTACCTTCACGGCAGACTCTCTTCCGGCTCATGTTTTTCAGAAGACAATAGACAATACTGAGATGCCTCTCTGCCCCAAAGCAAGAGTCCATGAACAATTCCCACCTTGCAAGCCCTCTGCACACAGATCCCTGCCAGAAACAAACGGAGCAGTGTGCTCCTGTGAGCTCACTGAACACAAACGACTGGAGAGCTTTCACAGAGGAAGACACGGCCTCTGCAGGCACCTCCTATAGGATGGAGGATCTGGCATCTGGGCAGGAATCCAGTGGAGTCAAGCAGATGCCATGTCAGTGTTTAGGTAGGACTTGGGGTGTTAGAAAATCTGCGCACTCAAATGTCTGTACTTCGGCTTTCTAGCTTTGAGCCCCAGAAAGCTTTAACTTCGCAAAGTTATAACCTCAAATTTCATGAGTCTGAGAGAAGAAGGGAAGCGCTGCATAAATGCTGAGCCATATGGATTGCAAAAAAGATCCTAACAGGTCATCCCTTTACAACCCTGGGTTTTGTTTTACTCTTAGCATACTAACAAACAGAAGACAGACTTTTGGTAGCCAAATTCTGCCTCTTGTCGCAATGACATTATTCCCCTGGAGCTAGCACGGTTACACAGATATGCCCAGAAGCATGAAATGGCACTATCATTCTAAAAATACTAACTGAGAGAATTCAGCAGATTCTTACTTACATTCACACTCAAAAGACTGTAGTTTGTAAACTGTATGCATGACCAGTAAAAACATCCGTGGATAAACACATTTCTATTCATTCCAGCCAGAAAACCTGATTATTAGTACGTAAACACTAGTAATCAGTGCTTGGGTTTTATTTACAGTAGAATAATTAGATAGCCCTGCACACCCTCGGGGTCTTGGCATACTCACATATAACGCTGAATATAATTGCTAGTGACAATCCTGTGAACTGAACATCGCAAGACAGGACAATATATATGGTGGCATGCAGGAGTTTCAGATTGGTTTCCTACTGGGTTAGTCTGTAAACAGCTACACAGCAAGGCACAGTTTATGTGATCCTTTGGACAGGTACCAATAGACACAGAGAGGAGAGCAGGAGAAGGGATGCATTCTCATTCTAACTTTACAGAAACGGAATAGCACAGCAAACTGAACAACCCGTCCAACAGCTCAGAGAACCTTATACTGGGACCCAGGTATGACTGCTCGTTTGTAGCATGGTAAACCAATACCAAACATAAATGACCTGTTTTTTTTAAAATCATACACCATTTTCCTGGGTCGAAATCCCTAATCTCTTAAAAATCATACGAAAATCCATTCCTGAGGGGCCTCATCTCAAAAGATGTAATGTCTCCTGGGAGCAGAAAGTTTCACTCTTCTCATACTTCATTTTTCTATTACCGTCTCATTCTAAAGCTGAGGTTTTAGCCTCCACAAATATTGTAACATAAAATTACAAGAAAAATTAATCTGGATTTTATATGTCTCCTTTTCTTAGTCATTTTCATTAGCAATCCTCTTTTCTCGCTTTCTGTGTCTCCCAGAAAACCATCATCCACAGTGATTTAGATAAGTCTGTATTTTATAATGTATGCGAGTTGAGTGAAATTCTGACACTATCGATCTATTCTCTACTTAGTTTTCCGCATTTTCAGTCTAACTTGGGAAGATTAGGAGTAATGAGTATATCCCAAATCAAAAACACTGAATGTTTAAAAGGTCAAATATTTGAGTAGGAAACATGTTGATTTTTATCCTGCAGAAGATGATTTAACATTTAACAAACTGACACTCAAGTGAATAGGAGAGAAATGCACGAATACCCCAGGCTGTATGTGCAAAAACTATCTTCTTCCTGACTCAAACTTGCTAGTACACTCCTCCCTCCCCCCACAGAGATAAGCTTATCTAAAATCCCACATCAGAATACCTTCCAGCTTTCTGTAGATATTTAAAGCCTAGAACTGACTCGTATGACCAGTACTTTTATAGTTGGATGAACAACATCACTGAAGTATTTTGAGACAATTCCACAAAATACTCTTCTACAGCTTTCTGAAGACCTTAATTTGACATTGACTCTTACTTATTTTTGTACAAAGTATTCTTAGTATTGATATTTCAGAAATCTTGGAGTAAAGGCTGATACTGGAACTTTCATGCTTTCCCCAACAAAACAGGAGAATTTAACTCAACCTATGAACTCAAACATTTCACTAATTTCTGTGGAATTCAACTAAGCTCCAAAACAGCACTGTGGCTATGCAAGTCACTTCTAAATCTCTTTTCTAATCCCTCAAGTCATTTAGCTACCTCTGGATTAGTAGCTAGCGTTTAGAGGGCTATACATTTTAATTGCAAGTATGTGGGGCCCTGGTGTTCAGAATGGCCACAGTTCACAAATGAAGCATGCACAAAGGGTTTTGCAGCTGGAAGGAAGAACATCCTCTTCCCAGGGCTGTGGCGGGGCAGGCGAGGTATCCATGCCGGCTCCTGTCCCACCGCACACTCTCGCCAGGAAGCACCCTTGGATCACAGGGGCACACGAGCCCTCTCCTGTTTTTAGATTCCAAAGCCATTCCCCTCCTAAAAACTGCTTTGTGGTAGACAGAGACAACAGAGCTTTCTGCCTCCTCCCTGCCCAGACAAAACAGCATCATCTCTACTACTAGCTTTCACCACGGAGACCACATGGATATGGATGCAGGCACCATGTTATCAGGAATAATGTATGAACTCTCAAACCTTCTGAGAGGGTGTATAATTTAAAAAAATGAAAATAAAACTCTTCACATATCTAATTTTTCATATATGATGCAAATTTCTGCACATAAGTACAGACCAGATACTTGCATCCTGAACCTGGGAAAATTAATAAGTGGCAAAAGATAATTCTCACTTGGACAATTATTACTTGTAACAGGGTTTAGCAGTCTTTAAAAAAAAATGCTTCACTGAAGGGATAGACATGGTTATAAAATATTTCCTTAAAATGGAATTAATCTCCTTTAAAATACATATACTACTTATCATGCAGAACTCCACATGGTGGGTCCTCAAAGAAATTAACAACTTGGACTAAAGCATTCTGTGAAAATGAAGCATGTCTCCTAATACTGGATTTGGCATAGAAGTCTCGTGTCTCTTTAGCTGCAAATTCTGTTTGATGGATTCCTTTTCAAGGTATCCTGTCAATTCATAAAACCAGTATGTTGGATCTAATCTACACATATGTCTATTACAGAATTTATTATAAATGGATATGTTTGCAGTACTTTTAAATCCAGTTGCTTTAAAACTTAAATTTCAAAGTCAATATAGATCTAATTATCTTCTTAATATTAGTTTAACACTGGATAAAATATAAATAAAGTGTATAAGTTAGCAGATTTCTGAAAGGGTATGACCTAATGGCACAAGCCAGACCTCAGTCTGATGTGCAAGCTGTGCACTGAATTACAGCAGTTGCAGATCAGTATACTTTCAAGAAAGCTTCTTTTTTGCTAGTATGTAAACTGAGCCCAGCTTTATAGCATGAGAGCGCAAACCATCTACAAGATACCACCCTGCAAAACTACATCTATTAGAACCAATAGCATCAGTGAGAAACTATACTTTCTAGGGTATATTTTAGCAGCCCAAAGGTGCTACAGCAGTT